ATTAGCTACTAACGCGCCTTAGGAAAGGCCGCCCAGTTTGCTTGTAACAGAAAAAGCTTTCCTTCCGCCGCGTGCTTTAAAAGAATAGCACGATTAAGAGTCACTTTAGGCGGTTGCCAATAAGCTTTTCTAGCTTTAATACCCAGCGCTTTAGACTCGCGGCAGTAGGCTGGCTCGTTAAGAAGAACCACCCTCTCTCTGAGTTCGAATCGCCAGCGTTTCAACGACTCCTTGCGATAGCTAACCTAGAGGCAGAGTCAGCGCTGTAGACATCTCACAACAGCGTCTTACGCTATGTTGTGCGCTTGTACGACTACCTAAAGCCGCGCGTTGTCGAGGAGCTATCGCAGGCAATAAGCAAGATCCACCTTAGCTTTGACGGCTGGACGACAAAGGGCGGCAAGCGTGGCTTCCTAGGCGTCGTCGCGCACTACGTCGACCATCAAGGCAACCTAAAGGACCTGCCTATTGCGCTGCCGCAGCTGACGGGCGCCCACAGCGGCGAAAAGATGGCCGAGGTAGTCAGTAAAACGCTGCAGGAGTTCAATATTAGTCCACTCACAGTGAGCTACTTTGTGCTTAACAACGCAAGCAACAATAACAGCGCAGTGCTTACAATTGCGCAAAAGATAGGCTTTAACGCTGTCTATCGTCGCCTCCGCTGCGGTCCTCATACGATCAACCTTATTGGCCAAGTGCTCCTTTAGGGCAAGGACTCTAACGCCTACAGCAACGAAGTGAGCGAGCTTACTAACAAGGGCAAGTTCATGCGCGAGTGGAGGCGCGACGGCCCTTTAGGAGTCCTTTTAAGCATTATCAACTATATTAAGACACCGCAACAGTACGCGCTTTTTGCTAACTTTCAGCGCCTCGCCCATCGTGAGCTGCCTATTGACGCGCCCGCTGAGGAGCGCAAGATCCTCGAGCCCGTTAAGCCAGTCGTCACCCGCCAGAACTCCTACTACTTATGCTTTGAGCGCGCCGTAAAGCTGCAATCAGCAGTTAACGCTTACGCCAACCACTATATAAAACGCGTGCGTGATGAGGACACGTATGCCCAAAGTCGCGGTAACAAGCTGCCCGATGCGCAGCCATGGATGCGATCGGACGGCCTCTCGGCCGCTGACTAGGCTGTTATTACTAAGTATATAGACGCGCTAAAGCCTCTAAAAGCTGCTACAAAGCGCCTTGAAGGACGCGGTAAAAGCGGTGGCTTTGGTGCTATTGCTGAGATTATCCTAGTATTCGAATATCTCCTTGGCTACTACGAGCAGCGCGTCAAAGCGTACGAGGCAGTCGACTATAACGCTCACAACGAGGCGCCTAAGGATCACCTCGCCATTAACTTACGAGCGGCATAGGCGAAAGCCAACGATTACTATGCTAAATGAGACCTCTCACCTGCTTATTACGCGGCTACAATACTACATCCTTACTACAAAACGTACTGCGAGACATCGTGGAGCGACAAGCCCGACTGGCTTAACGCGAACAACCGCCGTTTCTGCGCTTTGTGGGCGGAGTACAACACCTCACAATGCGTTTTACGGCGCCTAAAGTTGTTCTCGAACGACATAGACGACGCGATTGATAGCCTTATCGACCCTACGGCCATAGCTAACGATGACGCAGCGGAGGATGAGTACGATAAGTAGAAGAGGAGCGAGTCGCGCGCGGAGAGGGGTTCAGATCACGCAAGAAACCCTATACAATACTGGGTAGCGCTACGCGACCGCTACCTATGCCTCAGCAAGCTTGCGCTTAACGTACTCTCTATCCCAGCGTCGAGCTGTGAGTGTGAACGCATGTTCAGTGAGCTTGGCGATCTGTTAGAACCTCGCCGGCGGGCTATACAACCTCAGCTTTTGGCGGCTATACAGTGCGTACGACGGTGGCGAAAAGCTGGCCTAGGCGACGATGAGGTAGCCATGAAGGCAACGATATCTGACGCAGAGATGGACGTTTTGTACGACGTGAGCACATGGGACGACGAGAGCGATAGCTGAAACTCAACACCAAAAGAAACCAATGCCAAGACTCAAGCCTCAAGCTTTTCAAGCCAAGCCACCTAATTTATAGCTAACAAGCCGGTCAAGCCAAGCTACAGCTTCAAAAACTGGCTTCAAGCCAAGCTCACGAGCCAGGCCGGCTTGGCCGGCTTGTTGACAACTATGGCGATAGGAACGTGGGAAGAGCCGCCTGCAGAATTGTCATAGAAACGTCCCTTCAGAACCTTAAGTCTATCAATATTCAATCAATCAACCAACCAAAAATTGGCTCTTCAGTCTCATCAACTCAAACAAACAAACTGTAACCCTAAGAAATGAGCTAATCAATCAACATCTACGCCTCAAATGTTGGTTGTTTTGTTTGTTGACTTCTCTGGGGATGGTACGAAAATCACGATGGATTACGGGAGAGCATTTCTGCAGACGGGGGGTGCTTGTGTGCAACATACGGCAAGAGTGCTGCACAGACAAAGGAGAAGGGTTGAAGCTGTCAGCCATGGCCCTCAGGTATTCTGCCCGAGGCGCGATCCATCTCACCTTTCCCTCACTCCTGCGCTAGTCCTATAGAGGTTTAGCGCGTGACTTCATGTCTATATAGATCTTTTGTTGCAGTGAATGCAGTCAATCAGAGTGTAACCGCGCGAGGCAGTAATCAGAGTATATTGTGTGTTCTCTGTTGTAGTGTTGTGTCTGCTCGCCTTTTTACGAAGGCAACAGCAGGGTCTGTTTACATGACGTATCACCATCACGTGACAAACGTGATCCGCTTCTCCTCATAACCGTCACATCTTTCCTCCGTAGCACCTAATACATCACGATTCTCCCCATTTCCAGTGCTACTTACAGAAGCGATGGCTATGTTCAAATGTTCATGGCCACTAAGTCGCAGCAGCTATCCTTATATACACAGTCCGCAACAATCAATTAAGTGGGTCCTAGAAGGTTCAGATTGGATTGATTGATTACCGCTTTAAGCCTAGTAGTTACCTATAGGAGTTTAAGCCCTACCTAGATAGGTAAGTGGGTCTAGGAGAGTGACCGGATTGAATTGATTGTTGCGGAGTCTACTGGTCAGGTAGTCAGGCTAGAAATTGGTATTTGGGCCGCCGCAATACAGTTCGAAGCCGGTGAGAAGTTGATGCTCCGTGTTAGCGGCCATGATATGCGATTGCCTGAGTTCGAGCCGTTACGAGGAAAGTTCACTACAGGTAACAAAGGAAGGCATGTGGTTCACATAGGAAAGGAGTATGATAGTTATCTAGTCTCACCTCTTCTCGAGTGCTAGATATAGTAAAATAACAAGTTATCTGTCAAGCAACTTCAAGATATATATAAGTAGACTCCGCAACAATCAATTCAATCCGGTCACTCTCCTAGACCCACTTACCTATCTAGGTAGGGCTTAAACTCCTATAGGTAACTACTAGGCTTAAAGCGGTAATCAATCAATCCAATCTGAACCTTCTAGGACCCACTTAATTGATTGTTGCGGACTGTGCTGACCAGGCTGTATCTTCTCTTCATTCGTGTGCTTGTGATGCGGAAAGTTATGCTTCGATATGCTGGCGTCGATCTCCCGGTGGCTAGCACGCAAGATACCCGATGGCCCTACGTACTGCACAGCGTTAAGACGAGGAAGATTAAGAGGGTCCTCGACACCCTCAATACCATCACCACCTACGGCCTTAAGCTCGGCGAATGGTATGTTGATATGGCGAAGGACGCGGCCATCCTTATCGACTTTGCGAAGTATCAGAAACACATCAAGATCGCTGTGATCTGGACAGGACATATAAAGCACTGCCTTCGAATTTCCAATAAGCCTTGTTCGTTGGGTAAAGGTATATGTGAAGCTTAATTCCTCGGGATCAGCATCATCGTTTTCTGCCTTAGCGTCGGATATATAGGAAGATTGACCGCTTTTTACAAGGTCAAACGATGATTGTAGAGTGCCGTCTACGGAGAGACGCAGGGTAATGTTGTTGATCTCAGGAACTGGCCAAGCAGCGAACAGCAAGTTGTCGATGTTTGCCTGAGAATGTTAGAACGGCCTCTAACGCATGACTTCATCACTCTGAGTGTGTACTCATGTCATGAATTTGCTCGTACTTAGAACCCTTACGTTGTTATCAGAGATGTCAACAAGCAAGTCAAGCTGGCTTGATTCTTATCGATTGCAGATCACAGACAATATAGAGGCTCGTGCACAGTGGCACGTCCCAGAGAATGGTCTGTGATCTGCAATCGATAAGAATCAAGCCAGCTTGACTTGCTTGTTGACATCTCTGTAGACGGGGCAGCAGCATGGGCGCTGAGTGGGATCGAGCAGA